ATAAAAAGTTAATTTAGATTATTTTTTACTTAATATAAAAAAATTATAAAGATTGGTTAAAATTTGAATGATTTTTAATAGAAGCAATTATTAATTTTTATATTGAGGTACAAATCTTTTTGCACCGACCCATAATTAAAATTATAAATACTTTACTTTTAAAAAAATTTATATATAGTATGTTCATGTATCTACATTTTTGCACTGAATTTATATTTGATTTGTGGCACAAATCAGATCATGTGCCTATCAGTATAAATAACAAAGCGCGTTACTACTCGCGTTACTTGTGTAAAATTTCTGGCTAAAATGAGAACGCACGAGGTTCGCGAAGAGCAAAAATGGTTTTTGAAAAACAACCGTGATCCTCGTCCGATAAAATTCTTTATGAAATTCAACTATCACAGTAAAAGTACTGGTATTCGCGATTATGAGTTACGATTAAATGATGTTCTACAAAAAGATCCATATTCAGAAAACTTATCAGAACTAAAGAAGAATGGGAGGCTGGCGAATATAAGGACGACTGGGCAAACTATGAGGATGAGAAAAATAACCGGAAAGCTGATGTACTAACGTAGACCAACATCGAATAATAGAGAAAAGGAAACGTCAAGCGCATGTCGTATTTCATGAAAAGCTGGATGAAAAACTTGACAGTAAAAAACTGTCTGATGCAACTGTAGTTTCTTCGTTGCCATCTACTTCATCGGTATCATCTTCACATCAAATCAACGAAAACAATCTTCAGAAGAGTTACGAAATTATGAAGAGGAAGATGAGGATGGAGCTTCTTCATCTGCTTCAAAAAAAGCTCGGAAGGGGGCAAGTTAGTTATTTTATTGACTAGTCTCCATGAAATAACGACATTCTTTTTCTGCTGGACAGGAAAACCCAACTAGTAACGTTTATAGCGAGTTGGCACATCAGGTAATACCGCGAACTGACTCCTCTGAGTCTTCAAATGTGATAAATGATGAAGAAAGGTATTCGTGATTATTTACTAGCAAATACAAAACATTAATTCTCACATATTATTGTTTAAATAGGATGGTCAAAAATGATGAAGAACTAGAGTTATATGCCAAGGAGTCAAGCCGGGACGATGAAGAGAAATGGATTGTGTGTGATACTGATTTGTGTAACACATTAACTAAATGGAAGCTCGACCGCGTACTGAACAAGTATTTTTGTAAATACTTGTGTTTGAGATGCATAAGTTTAAACATCTGATTCAAATGCCGGAATTTTAGTTTGGGATTCTACGACATAGTAGACATCACACCAGGATCAAATAGTGATTTCGTACGATCACTACCCATTGATGTAGTACGCGAAATAAGGCAATCAAAATATTGCCAACAGTTAAAAATGGACGATACGGATGGCATGAAAAAATATATTGTTAACTTTATTAAGTTATTGCTAGATACATACATAATCTTTAATCCCAAAATATCCTGTTGCTTTGCTTCATACTCTTAACTAATACGTCTTGCAATATAGGCGAAAGATTTTCGTAAGCTTGTAGATGAAAGCTACATGTAAACACAAATCAACAATAATACGAAATTCATATGGGACTATTTGAACATCCTGTAAGAACCATTTTGACAAATGTGTTTTTCTACTTATATCTTACCATTCAAGTTCTTTTCTTTAACGTTGAATCATTTGAACGAGACAATGATCTCGCAGAATATAATTTATCTGAGTTAGGATATCGGGAAATCTTCCTCGCACCCCTAATGCGTAGTCTATTCCGTGGAATGCACCGGGAAATGAATATTTTTTTGTGAGTATTTAAATAGCACGTGATACGATCTTAATTCTTTATAATGTGTGTTTGTCTAGTGGTGAAAAGTGTCTGCTCGCCTCATCAGAGGATCGCAATTTGGAAAAGAACGATGGGGAAGATCGTAGTGCTGGCCGAAAAATAGACATCATCTGGTCTATGAAACCGACCGACCTCGAGTTTTCCATATGCGAAGTTAGTGGTCCCCAAACCAACACAACCATACCCACTTTTTTAACGATAAGTTAAAGATCGCCAAAATGTTGAAGGTGATCCTTAATAGGATCGTAAGAAAGTACGGTATTGTGGGCATTAATTTGACTTCATTAAAATTGTATGACCTGCATGTTTATTGTAAGTACTTCCAATTCTGAAAACGGTATATATTTTACGAGATTAACATTCTCCAACTTCGTACAGATAATGAAATAATAGTGTACGAAATGTCAATACCTTCCTGGTGGATTATACGTTTTCTGTGAAATTTTACGGTCAAAACTGCCAACAAATGAGTTTGAAGTGGGATTATTGTTACGATCAGTACCGGCATTGCTAAAATTCAGGGTTTGTTTTCATTCTAAATCAATCACATTCCATTAGTTTCTCACATTTATCTTACGAAATTTTTTGTTACTAGAAGTTACTTGAGGAGAGTTTGACTGATCTGAAAGATTACATTCAAGATGCGTGTACTCGTACACCGGATGATAATGGAAACGCAGACCTATTTATTACGCATACTGATTTGACGCCCCCAACAAATAGAAAACAATCGAATTAATTAACTTACGATTTAATCTGTCACCTTCACTTTCATGACAAGAAACGGAGGTTGGGTGATTTATGTATTGCGAAAAAGGAAGTATTATTTTTATACCGTACCACTTTATACTGCTTTTGTGCATTTTAATACAATAATAAAGTTTTACTCGTATTAGTTTTAATCATGTTTGTATGGTATGGGGTGTGATGCATTGGAAAAATTTCAAGCGATTGATAAATGCGCAGTACTGTTTGTGCTGGGTTTGCGCATAAGATTATATCTCTTATTACACTGTGAATAATTAATTTAATATATAAATATAAGATACTAAATATAATAAACTAAGTTTTAATATTATTTGAATAAAAAATAATAAAATTAAAAAAAGAAAAATCAAGTATAGTTAAGAATTTATTAAATAAATAAGATAACTAAATATATAAATAATAAAAGAATAAAAATAATTTTATACTAATCTTGCAAAATCAAAATTATATAATAAGAGAGTAATTTTTAAAAAAAATAACTATAGGCTTTAATAAAATTACTGATTAATTTTTTGATAAATTTTTTATTAATAATAAACCAAATTTTGCTCATAATAAGATAGATCTTTTATTTGATAAAATAATAAATTCTAGTAATAATAATGATAATAATAATAATTATAATAAATTTAATTTAATATTTCTTGATATTTTATTAATAAAAAAGTTTAAGAATATATAATAAGTTATTTTTTTTATCTTATTTAAGATTAAGAATTTTCTAAGTTTTTAATATGTAATATTAATAGAAATTTATAACATATATAAGTTATTTATTTATAGATAAATTAATAATTAAATAAAGATAAACTTTATATATTATATTATAATTATCACTCAAAAATCTCTTTTTTATATTTTAAAACTTTAAATTATATATTTTCTGATATTTATATATAAATAAATTTATCTAAACTTTTTATTAATTTATAAAATTTATTAAAAAGAAAATAATATTAACTTTTAGATTTAAGAAAAAAATAATAATTTTTAAAATTATAACTTAATTATGATTATATTATTTTAGTTAAAATTATAAAGATTATTCAAAAAATATTTATTTTAATAGCTATAAGCATGATAATATAATAATATATCAAAATTAATTTCTTAAATAAATAACTAATTTATGATTTTGAATAATAGTATATGAAGAAAAAAAATATAAAACAAGTTATTTTATTAATATTTCTATCTAATATTTTTAAACTTATTCTAATTATTTATGATGAATCAAGTTTTTTATATTAATAATAGTATTATTAAAATATATGATTTTATAAAAAAAAATTAACTTTAATATAAATTTCAAGATTTTAATATTTATGTAAGCAATTTTGTCTGTGAATTAATTAAATATTTTTATTTTTTAGAAAAAAACAAGTTATAAATAATTTATTTTCTAATAATTAATAACTTTTATATATTAAAATATATATTAATATATATTTAGATTCTAATTAAGATAATTAGTAAATATATTAAGATCTTATAAAATAAGTAATTAATAGAGTTATTCTTATTTTTAAAAGAATATATCCTGACAAAATAATACTTTTTATATTTAATAATAATAATAATTATAATATATATACTAATAATATTTTGATAATAGTCTAAAAAATAAAAGTAAATAATTATTTTTTTATAATAGAAGGATACTTGATAGATTATTTCATATTATAATATTTATTAATATTAATAGAATCAAAAAATATCTAATAAATTCTTGAAAAATATAAGTTATAGATAAATATAATAATTTTATAATATTTAATTATAATAATAAAATAATTAAGATTAATACTAGTAAAAAAACTTATATTAAGTTATAACTTATTTTATATATTTTATTAATAATTTATAAAACTTCTATCAAATATTAAATTATTTATAATCTATATTATAGTTAAAGAAGTATATTAAAAAGTATTAACTTTTTATAAAGCTATTTAATTAATTAAAGAATTTATTAATATATTTTTTAATTCTTTATCTGATAAATTATTATTAAAATATATAATTAATTATATTATTGATTTGATATTTAGTTCAAAACTATTATCTTATCTTATTTACTATTTATTATATATTAAAATTGATAAATTAAAAAATTAACTATTTAATTTACTAAATAAAAATTTTATTTATTTAAGTCTTTTATTATTTAAAATATCTATCTTATTTATATATAAAAAAAATTCTTAAACTTTAATATTAATTATTATATCTTGAATAAAATTATAATTAAAAATCACTATTCTTTATCTTAAATAAATAAATTAATAAATTAATTTATTAATATATAATATTTCTTAAAATTAAACCTACATCGGAAAATTTTCGAGGGCACAGTTTTGCGCAGATCTTCAGGTCCAAAATCTGCGCAAAACTTCGAACCTGGCGA